ATGTTCGCCGGCTACGGTTGCCGTTAACGCGTGCCGGCTTAGAAGTTTCCCGAATTGTTTTTCGAGTCAGTCGTTTTCGTGTTGGGAAAATTGCAAGGTTTTCTGCAATTTCTGGAAGATTTTCCATACTGGTTATGATACCAGCACCAGTCAGGGTTATCCGTCTCTCGTGGTCTAGAGACAGATCGTTTACGCGAAATGCTTCTACGTGGACTGCGTGAGCGACTACGGTCGTTACGAAGATTAAGATAACGCGTGAGTGTATGACATAACTCGGTTATGTCATTCTGAGTCGTGTGAGGCTTTTCTTTGACGGAAAATACCTCTGTAGTAGACGATTTCGTTATTTCTAAAATACGATCGGCAGATGCAGCTAGCTCGTCTAAGGCGTTGTTCTGAAACGAGACCAGAACCGCTTGCACCTGTTGAGGAAGTTTAGACAAGAAAAGTTGTTTAAATAGACCTTCGTCGAAAGTCCTTAGGCCTATCACTTCTCTCATTCTTTGCAACATGTCAGTCGCAGAACCGTGTTGTAGGTCCATGTTATTGAAGAGTTGATCTAACCTTTGTCGATCGGTTAGGTCTCCTCGTTTAAGAATCGAACGTTTTAGGATTTCGTAAGGTTCGGAAACATCACTAGTAAACATACTAGTTGTTAAGTATCTGTTGAATTCGCGCGGTAGTGCCTTGACTACTGCGAGGAATTGTGCACGTGTGTCGATCACGCCGTGCTCGGAGAAATCGGATTCTGCGTAGCAGAACCAGGCTTCGATATTGTCGGGCCAGAAAGGCATTAATTAAAACGAAGGCGGGGACAAAGTCTTAAGCTTGAGTATTTTGGGTGTCTGTTCAGCCATGATGAAATATGAAGTACGATAATTAACGAGGGAAAAAATATATATATATCCCAGGAAAAAGGGACAGACTCACAATTGCAGTTATGTGTACCAGATCACGACGGTCTCACCAATGATGATGATACAGGTATTCAGTGTTTGACAACTTATCTACCAGTAACACCTTCTAATATGCTTTGTTCCCACCGAGAGAAATCAAAAGACAGAGTCGAGGAGATCGGAAGAGTGTATTTGGCGATAACCAATATATCGGGAATCTCTGATCTAATCTGGCTAGTGATTGCGATTGTTGTTGAGCACAGCGTGACAGCACGTGATCTGGTGCGGATGCATGACCGAGCGCCTTCAGCTAGATGAGTCCACTAAAACATACGGTCAGCATCCAATGTCGAAAACCTATTGAGCTATTTAGTTTGGGGATTTATTTACCGCTACAACCTATTATGCGCAGTGACGTATTCTGTTTCATTGTGATTATCTACCTAAATCGCCTTGATCGGTTTAACGTTTTCGTATAAATATTCATGTATATTAGAGTAAACCCTGATTATGATCTAATTGAAAACAATTGTTCGCTTACATGTGTTGTCTTAATTTTCACAATGGGAATCTATAATATCCTTTTGTAACTTGTACATCGAAACGTTGTACACCTTTTATAAACGCAACTGAATAGGCTATGTATTTAATTTATATAATGATGTTTCAAAATAAAAAAGGAAACAGATTACTTATTGAAATATCTAGATGGCACTAACAGGTAGCTCGGATATTCAAGCAAGCTGTCACATCCCCTTCACTGGTTATTTACAATAAAACGTCTATAATGTAGCACGATATTCCTTCGATAATTTTCACCTGACTTAATTAAGCCGCCCATGGTTTTTTGTAAACATTTTACAGCGGCCGTCTGTATCCATAAATTTCAATAGGCTGACTATGCTTTACCTGTAAGGGAAGGAATGCGGTATGACATGTATAACAAATAGTTCTAAACGATATGAGTTTGTGAGAAACCTAGTGCATGTATGAAATTTTTAAAGTCTAGAACATTTATAATCTAGTAAAAAAGTTTATGTTAGCTACACTGGTTACTCAAGTACGTACAGCAGTCAATGTGCTAAAGTTGTGAGTGTAGATACAGGGCTACAGTTAACTGTAGGTCAGCCGCTTCCTAAGGTTTTAAAGCCCTTTTGTACTATTCGTAAGTCATCTTGTCATTCAAATGAAAAAACCTCTAGGGTATTACGTCAACGTCTGTAAGGCAGCATTTGAAATATGCAATCTTACTGACATACCTTACTAAGGAAGACTGAAACGCATCGGCCTATGTCTGTAATCATACCTCACATTAGGAGATAATTTAGTACTAGCCCATAGTATACGGAATAATGATTTTGCAAATAGTATCTCTTAGCCTTCCCTCCCATCTAGGACTGATAATCAACGAGGTATTTTAGGAAGTTATAAAAAACCATGATCAAGCCGTTTATGTCTGGAGCTTCATTTGTTGTACCGATTAGTGACTTACCGGAACTTTTTACTTAAACATGCAATGTCCGCACTGTCTGTTGTTACATTCAAGGGATTATCCGAACTTTTCAGCATTATATAGTGAAAGGACTAATACGATTCGCTTAACCTGCTATCTATACTAACTGACTGGAGTCTTCCGATGTCAATCCCAATGAAAATATATGGACTTTGTAGTCTGGATTCGTGTCTACAAAGTAAACATTGAAGCAATGCTTTCAATACGGCAATTCTGCAACTAACCGGTATTATTCTCAATCATTTAACATAGTAACGAAGCATTGTAAGAATGTACTAAGTCGAATGAACGTTTAAAGCATTCTAACAATTTTCAAACGAAATTCCTTGATTTCTCTTAAATACATTTTATGTGACTAGAATTTTTTTCTCAGATACAAGCAGCCACCAGCAGATCGTAATCTCACAGGAATAGGCTAACGGTTCTACAACTGAGAGGACGGAATCATGAATTCGCAATTGTTCACTTCAGTATATAACCTATATATCATATTTCCTGTTTTCTAAAACCAGTGATGAATGGAATTCATGTGCTGTAGATTGATTATGATCTATGAAGAAACGTGGTTAAAATATAATACCAAATAAAATACCAAGATGAATATATATATATTATCAACGGATGTGACTACAGACGAGTGAGAAGACGATAAAATACGTCAACATCCAAAACAAAGTTGGGCATTGAATAAAAAACAGTAATAAAAGTTATGTGATCAATGGCACCTGTAAGTTCTTTCTGGAGTAACCACCATAAATAGAGAACACTCGATTGGGAAATATGTGTTCCGCACAGCTAATAGAGACAACGTGAAGTGAAATATTAAACTAATAGAATCGTCGGAAAATAATCTAGACTAATAACTTCACATAGTATAGAGTGGTCTAAAAAGGTAATATAACATCACTGTAATATGGAACAACAGATCGATGTCAATAAGGCGGAAACAGGGACGATGTAAGCAGTAATTACTTAAACATCCGGCTGCAACGTGAGTGTCAATCAACCAATTAGTATTTTTTATTCACAGTTGATATCAATAAACGATGGGCTCAGATTCCCACAACCTGGTTTTGTCCTTTCTTTGTGTGGTTTGTGCCACTAATATTGCCAGATATAAGTAGCATGCAACGTCAAACAAAAGTAAAATGTGTGGCGGCATAAGGTTAAGAAGATGGAAGGGAAGAGAACCAGAACAGAAAATGTTTGGTGTGAAAACGAAAGAACAATGAAGTTTGAGACAATTGACTAATATTTTGGAAAAGAAGAACTTACTGTATGGTTCTCAGGTTTTAATAAAATGTTCTGTAATGTTGTGTTCAAATACATTCAATTGTCCCTCTTGTGTTCACTTTTATTACGTTAGTAAGCTTTTAAGAGTGTATAGTCTTTTCTAGAATATGGCATTTAAATGTGTGGAGACCACATCATTGAGTAACAGGTCCCGTGAGTTGACGACTCGGTGTGTAAGCTGATATGCCCTAAGGACTTTATTTCTCAGCGGATTTCGCACTTGCCTCATTTACTCAGATCATGTGATCTGGTAAGAAAAGAAAACGGGGACATTGCAGTTTCAAAATAATTTCTTAATATTCTAAACATGTAAAGATGACACAGGTATTCGGAGTTAGACAACATCTTTGCCCATAACACCTTTACAGTCAAATTAAAAGTTAGAAATGGAGTTCGATGTTATATTTGGAAAGCTATGGATATGTCGAGAAGCGTTCGATCTAAGCTGGCTGGCAGTTCAAGATATGAGTATCACGACACACCCACTCGTGACAGAACCCCTTCAGCTAGATGTGTCCACTGAAGCTTATGTGGTCAGCATCGATATCGACGATATACAGAACTTAATTTTTGGGGATTTATTTACTGTTACACATAAAAAACCGACCACTGCTTGTTTTGAGGTAGGAAAGAGGAAGTAAGCTTAGCTTCTCAAGCGGCTCCATGTTATATAATATAAACTTGATTTCAAATATTAGGTTTAGAAGGAAGAAAAAGATATTGACTTTCATTTATGGTTATGAAATTTATTGAATTTACTTGTCAACATAACTCTCACAGACATGATATAGTCTCTGAAACAGTGACATAGCTGACGTCATTCGTAGATGATACCGAACCTAGTTCTAAGAAGTTTTTAGTAGTAGAGAATAAAAGAATCAAGAAACATTGATTTGAAATTAAGGAAAGAAACAATAGCCAGCTTACCTTTATAGTCAGTGGTGAACAAACACTGAAACCACAACCAGAATAAATCTGGCGTGATCATAATCAAAACAAACTTGTTCGTTAACTTTCTCGTTCAAACATAAAAATAATTCATAAAGGAGTTCGAAAATCACATAAACGATGGATGACTCCATATTTCATATTGCGCGGCACAGTAAGACTGAATAATATACATTTACTTTTCCATTCTAATGAAAAGAAATGTTGGTTTACTGATATACTTTAGGCTTCGTTGATTTCAATAGCCTTTGAGTTTTGCCTTGTGTTTAAATTCTTAATCAATCGCAAACGGTCTTGTTACGGGTTATCGTGCTTGTTTGGTTCAAGGTTGTGAACTCATATCACAGAGAATGGTAAGTTCCTTTGTTTCCTTTGCATAACGTCTACAATAGGCCGACCAATTGACAGAGGAACAGATTGCTGAGTTTAAAGAAGCATTTTCCTTGTTTGATAAAGATGGTGATGGTACAATCACCACCAAAGAATTAGGTACAGTCATGCGCTCTTTGGGGCAGAACCCAACAGAAGCTGAACTGCAAGATATGATCAATGAAGTAGATGCTGATGGTAAGGCCACATTAGTTAAGTCACAAGCAAATTAAGGCAATGGTACAATTGACTTCCCTGAGTTCTTAACAATGATGGCCAGAAAGATGAAGGATACAGACAGTGAAGAAGAGATTCGAGAGGCATTCCGCGTTTTTGACAAAGATGGAAATGGATTCATATCTGCTGCTGAACTCCGGTTAGTTTGCAACTCTTAAAACTTCATTAGGGAGAGCATGGTATTTTTTTGAAATGTAAAAATGTAAAGACGAATTTCGTTAGACATAAAAAAATCTACAGTTTTCTAATATCTACACTGCTAAATTAAACTCGTTTTAGTCTACCCCAATTCCTTGAAAGTTCTTGGTTGTCAAGCACAAGACAACCGTTATATATGCTACGTCCCGTATACTAAGCATGCTCTTCATGGTACTGATTCGTAAATTATGTGTCCCTAGGTGAGACTACAGTTTATGGAAAATCTTTGAGTAATGCTAGAATGACCTTAAGATATCCACCTTGCTACGGTTAAGTATGGGATTTATACTAGTGTGAGGGATTACGATTGGGATTTGAAGTTAAACGTTAGGGTTAGGAATTCGATTTTGTATTTCCATCACGAACTGACATCACCTGTAATACTAAAATGGTATTTAGCCGAGTAAATGGATGAATCGTCAAAATCCAAGATCGTGATCTGACCAGTTTATAGTTATCACCATTAAAACAAAATAAGCCTCCAGAACATAATGAGTTCGTTGTATCTCATCACTTTCTCCTCATCTACACACAAGCTGTGTATAATTTCAATTAAAAACAATCTCAAATTTAGCCCATTATGTTCAGGTTATATGTAGTGTTGAAGAAGCTAACATTTTAGAGGTGGGGTCCTTTTAACTGCTTAGGGTAGTGAACCTAGAATGTTTTGGCGATTGTATTGCTCTGATCATACTTTCGGAAGTTAAATGGAAAATTGGATTTGAGGTCAACTCACTCATATTAACTTGTTTGCAGTTGAAGAAAATGCAAAGGAATTAATGAGTTTATCATATTTTCCGCATATTGTCTGTTAAGTCAGCAGGGTTTCACAGCTTTTAGTTTCATTTATAGTCATCACTGTCAACTTGGACCAAGAATCATAAATTCACACGGGGTAAAGTTGTGCTAAAGTCTGTCTAATTATTCTAGTGAAGTCCTTATTTATCTATCCCAGTTTAGACGCTTGACTTAGTCGAGCATTATAATACGGTAGTATTCCATCTTATGTGTTCTGCTAGTTCGTGTCGAGTAGTGGAAGCCATTGGGAAGCGAAATCGGTGTTACAGTCAAGTTTGTGTGGTTATTCAATTAATCTTTGTTCTAAGCTATTTGAAGTAGTATTCCTTCTGTTTTTATTGCTAACCACGCAAACATATTGACTTTGTAACTACATGCGTCATATACTAAGTTGACACTAGCTAACACGTTTTTATGTGAGTTTTTACAATGATAAGAATGTCTAGGTAAGGTTATAACAACGTATCGGTCAGTCACTATATCCCTCTAAAACCAAACTGTTTGGTTGTGAATTATAGTTCCCAATTACACCAACAAGCCTGTTGTTTTCGACATATCTTGTTCTAGTCATCATCGCGATGGTGTTGCTGGAAGCGATTACAGTCGTTTGCGGTACAAAATAATCGTTTATCATTTCTACCTTCCAGGGAGAAAATAAGGGTCTTTGTTACAAATCTTATGACAAGGATTGGCTATGATGAAATACTTTGAGTAATTATTTTAAATGTAGATGTGATCCGTCAAGCTGAGTTTAGTTTTTTTTTCAACCTGCTACTGTTAGTACAAACCTATTTATCAATTCCTCAGTATTATATCTTCTAGTAAACTATTAGGCTCTTGTTTCTTTGTGATTACCTGTAGACCTGTTGTTTCGCTGCTTTTTTTTTAACATTGACAGCATCGTGGTGGTGTGATGTACCAGATGAAATTATCCACAAGCGGATAGTTTCAACTTCTGGTTCCTTTCATTGACTGTATTCAAGGCAGAATGGCCCAACAATACTCAGAGTTTTACACAGCAAAGCCATTCCACAAAAGGTCTGGTGACATTTTTCAATTAGAAATAGCTAGATAAAATAGAACCGAAGTCCTAAGCTGCAGCACAGCATCTACACGGTGACAATTTCAGTTCATACAGTCCTTTTAAGGATGTAGATATTACTTACTGGATACCCATGCCATGAAATGATATTTCCGAAGGTGCCTGGAAAGAAAAACAGATTGTGTAGTTTTCATTATCTGAACATAGCCACAGGGCCTCCGAAATACTTGATGCTAATCACGCGGCATTCTCGGGAAGGTCAACACTGTCTAACCCCTTGTAAAAAGCCAACATTATATATATATATGGGTCATGTAAAACGACGCGGCGAATAAGGTCTTGCTGTAGGCAAGTCAGTATGTGATACTTGTTAAGAATTACAAGGGTTTCACTTATGACTCAGTTTGAACAGAGACGTGTAGTCAGTCTAAATGGAATTTTCTCCGACAGGTGTCTGTAGATGATCAGGTGAACATATTTCTAGATTAAATCAACGAGTACTGAATTTTAAGTGACTAAATTGCCAACTAACATAAACAATGTGACGTTATGTCCATCAACCAATGACCACGCAAATAACACAATCGACTGAACTTTTACTCAGCGATATAGATGACAATTGTTCGAAAGTAAGTGGTCATATGACGACAAGTTTTGGCAGTTTCAGAAATTCTGTCCAAAATTTCTTTGTAATGAGAATAATCCTGGTTTATTGTTTGCTCTGTACGTATATTTTGTTGCTGGAACATACCTACGGTTCCGAGCCGATAGATTGGCGTCTTAAATTTTGTGTGATAGTCTTATCTTTTGCTACTTCACGAACTAGACAATCCTCGTATGTTGTTTGGTCACAGGCTTCATGCTCCCTTTAATGTCTAGTTAGTCCTCTCTGGGTTTTTTGCAAGCAATTATTTTGTGCCCAGTAAGGCTAATAACTGTTTGGAGTCTGTGGGTTTATTGTGATCAATGGTTAAAGATGTTGAGTCCATGATTTAAAATTAGTCTCAATGGTACATATACATTAGCTCTTTGTTTTTGTTTAGATCATGAGTTTCAAAGTTTCACTGTACCTTTTATTCCACCGATTAATTCCCTCCAATTATGTTCTGTATGTCTATCTCTGACGCCACGACTTTTATATTCATTTTGTCCTAATGTTTTTTATTCAGTGACACTTCCCAGTCCTAAAGCAATTGATGGTAAATCAGTTGATGAGGTTATGAATCTTCATCGACTGAGATGGTTGGGCCACGTGTTACGTATGCCTGAACACCGATTACCACGACGCGCAATGCTATCCGGTATTGGAAATGGTTGGAAGAAAGTTAGGGGCGGCCAAACCAAAACGTGGCATCAGTGCTTGAAGTCACTAACCTCTAGTCTGAGCCATGTTGGTAGATGCAGACTACTTGGTTGGGGTCCGCGTGACTATCGTAACCAATGGTTGGAGACTCTTGGTGACATGGCTCAGAATCGATCACAATGGCGTCGGTGTATACACTCCCTGTCTTCCCTTAAACTATGAGATTAAAATCGCTTCATATCTTTCTTTCTACGAACCAATTCTTTCTGCTTGTACTATATCTCTATATGCAATATTTCTCTTATATATTACCACCTTTTACCTAACCACTGTTATGAATCCGGTGTTCATCTTGTTGTGTTGATGCGGTATGGCAACCTGGACCGATGCACATATGTGCCTGGTCCTACGTTGTAGCTGACTGACTGACTGACCTAAAGCAATCTAAGTGTCATGGGTAATCTTCGGCACTGCGATATTACAATGATTGTAAAGCACGGTGTACGGCTACTCAGTGTACCCAATTTTGTACTACACTGACATTGAATCAGAGCAACTAAGAATTTCCTTAACGCGAAAACTACTTTTTAGCGTTACATTCGATTGCTTAATCGTGTCAGTTAGAATTTATTGACTATCTTATGTACAACAAAATCACTTAGAAATGGGTATCCTTGATATACTATGTATCATATCTCGTAGGCTACACCATCAATCGCTGTTCAGATTAATTGGGCAAAATAAGTGACCATTGTAAACTAAGGGATAGTTTTTGCTGGCTTGACGCCTGTAGGTCTTTCCAAATCCCTTGCGTAAAGTCCCTTAGTTAACTCTACTATCATCAAAGGCCATCTCATGATCAAGGCTATATGTGATCCTTCAGTTGTTACAACAAGTTACTAAGTTAATCAGCTCTTTTTATGTGTACTTCATCTGGCTTACTAAATATCATTTCTATTTGCCTGTTTATTTTTCCGTGATATCATGCTATTTCGTCTTACACGTCGTTTGGCGTCCATAACGTAACAAGTTTGTATTGAAATAATCCACTCATAGGGAAATCAGGAGTACATTTACACAAAATTTATTTTCCTTGTTTAATTATGATAGATCTATACTGTTCTCCTATGTTCTTTGGAGTTTTGTTTGGTACCATATTGTTGATTAAAGAATTCTCAGCTTTAATATATAATGGTACAAATTCCAGTTTAATATGTTTAACTTGTTAATATTTGAAATCTACATAAGGGAACACTTCTCAGTAGTGATTACCTACTATGCATCTTTATCCCTATACTGATTTGATCAGTTTTCTTTTTGTGATATCTCTTCTCACTTTGTAATACATTTGAGGCATCGATTTCAATTCGACTATCTTTTACTTCTCTAATGAACACGCGAGCAGACAAACATACCAACCTCGCCTTAATGATTTTGCTCGAATTTGACAGTAATTATGTGTTAAGTTTTTAGCGGGAACTCTTGAGTACAAAATATTTGAAAGGTTTAAAAAACAGGTGACTTGAAGAGTTTCGGATTTAGTTTCCACTACACCTCAACTATTCTCAGTCCGTGGCGTAAACCACATCTATGTGTATTTATTATATGCAACAATAACTAAACAGATCCTGCAAAAAGGGCAAAGTATTACGGAATAAAACTCTGAATCCCGAAGAAAATATCAAGTCTCTATACTTAAGCAAAAATTTTTTACTATTTCAACTAGTTTTCCGAAAATCTTTATATGTAGAATATGCTAACCCTATTGTGTGCCCTTATGTATTTTCCACAGACATGTAATGACCAACTTGGGCGAAAAGTTGACTGATGATGAGGTCGATGAAATGATACGCGAAGCTGATATAGATGGTGATGGTCAAGTAAATTATGAAGGTAAATGCAGTATAACTTGTCTTTTTTTAAGTTAGTGGTCGGATTCTTGTAGATTTAGTTGTTTTTACGTCTTAATGTAGTTATTTGGTATTGTTAGTAGTTTGTTTATGTTTCACGTATTTCATAGTTGTTTATTTATGTTGTGCATCATATATATTTATATACATATCTATATATATTTGTTGTTAAAATTTTGCAATTTCATTGTTGTCTTTTTTACTCTATACATCTGCGGTGCGTTTTCATGTTCACCTCATCCGACTTATCTGACGGTATTCGCATGTGATGCCTTTGTCCTATCTGCTATCATCTCAAAATTTATCTACTTCTGTGAACTACATCAACAGAATTCGTGAAAATGATGACAGCGAAATGAGAATACTAAAATAATACATCAAAACTAAACATTCTCATCACACTTTCAGCTGAATGCTCATTTTGAGCAAAAGAATGTCTGTAAAGCAATTTTGTGATTGGCGTGTTGAGTCGCCCATTGTATACGCATGTTTTGTTTACAAACTACGTAACTGATTATATTGTTTGAGTTTTTAATGCTCTGGGCTATTTTTTGTCTGTTTTTCCCCCAGAAAATTCAAAATGTATGCCCCCACTTACTTAAAACAACAATAAAGCCCTTACTGCTCACTTTTTGCATATATATATAAGCCTTATTTCTTTAGGCTTTCTATATGATGTTGAATTAATCTATGTTAAGATTTTTCCGTAGACAGTAATTATTGTTTGTGCTATACGTTTTCACGATTCTTCCGTTCGCTTGGGATATTATATAGGTCTTTAAAGTTTCTAAATCAACCATCTAAAATTTTTTATGTCGAATATAGAAATTTTGATTCGTATTTTCATTTTCCGATAAAGCTAGAGTGATAATTATTGTAGTTTAAAAAGGTAGTAGAATAAAAGTCTTTCATGTTATGTACCACATCGTTTCACAGGAAGATTTAAGGGTCTTTCGATGATTCAAGTTGAACGTTAACGGTTTATTCTTGTAGTGACGATAATTCACACTACCCAGGTCGGCTTAACTTTAGTATGCATTGTTATTTTTACTTATTTAAGTACAAAGAAATTTGAGAAATCCCTTCCTGTCACACTATATTATCTCATCCTTCGTTTTTTCACAAATGATAATGCATGCATATGTCGTATTTGTTTATTTTTTCGAGTATAGTTCGTTGATTGGTTTACCTATTTTGTTGGGGAAAAATGTAGTACGTGGTAGTTTTGTGGTAGATGTCAACTTTGGGGATATTCTCTGTCATAATTGCCTATTCCTATTTTCAGAATTTGTTACAATGATGACGACAAAGTAACCCGAACTAGTTTATACAAAACATTATCATTCCTGGTATCTCCACTAGAAGAAGTGAATTACCGTCGCCAAAAAACTTCGTACACGTTAAGACACTTGTTGACAGTGACTTGTAGGAAAGCCTGATTTATATATATAAATATATACATATGTATACGCATGTCATCTTGTCATTTTCACACGTTTCCTTGATTAACTTTACCCCTCAACACACACGTTTCCTCGCTTTACCATCTCAAGAGGTAATTGTTCACGTTCATTCTTTACGTCTTACATTATTACGATTTATTCTTTTAAACATCTTTAGTTATTTTACTCATCAGATGTTTGTGGTGAGAATGGTTTTCCTTTTTTTCCTCTTAAATTTTACTTTCCCTTGCTCTTTGCATTCCAATGATTGATTTTGTTACTGTGCCATGACGTTATTGGTGTATATGCATACTTCTTTGTTTTTCTATCCCCTAAAAGAAACTGTACTATTTTCCTCTTGATATAATGTCTGATTATTGCATTAATGAAAAAAGAATGAATAACATTTTAACTGTTGAGATGTGCACTATAATCCTTCCTGAAATAAGTCCATTAATGAAATCAGTTTGCTCACTTATATCTTTCTTCTCTAAAATCCTAATATTTGTTTCACCATTAAACGGTTTTTTAAATTGGTTTATCTATTCCTGGGAGCTAAGTAGCAATTTTATTAGTGAATGAAACTTAAAGCAGTTCACAAATAATTTTGTCAAAGCTTTTCCAAATAGTTCATTTCAATTGTCACATCTCACCAAGTAGGTCTCATTATCAGGCTAAAAATATTGTCACGTTGATGCTTTGCTGAAAACCCATTAATTCAGTAGATAATAATCGCTAAACAGTCAGTTGAATAGATGTTATTCGAAACTATTATGTTGTCAAATGGGGCTATGTCTACTTAGCGCGATTCATGCGAATTATTTCCATTGAATCAGGTTTATATGTTCCTCTTTAAAATATAACTGGTAGTTACAATGCCTTAATTCTGTTTCAAGCGGTCACCACTACCACAGCTTCACATGTAGGATCACGTGTCCTAATTGATAAGTATTACATGAAATCACATCTCGATCTAAATTTGGTTTACGATTTTAGAGTAATCAGTAACTGTTGATGAGTTTTTGATTGTTAACATAGGGTTATATTTGTTTGTTCCATAAATTTCTACTGTGGACAGTTTCTGTCCAACATTTAGTAACATGACTATTTCTAGTCAGTTTTAGCATGGTTGTTTGGTATTGCATGTTCACTTTGCTTCGTGGACCTTGTTTTACATCATTGCCAGTTGTAACGGTTTTCCCGTTTGTTTTTAATATATACGCAAAGCGTCAAAAGCTTATTTTAACCAGAGTAATTTTTGTATAAGAAAATTGAAAGATATCCACTTATTAAATTTATCATGAAGGTAACAATGATTTAACGACGAAGTTGCTTTATATCAGGAAATAATCACATAAAGGTTCGAATCGCTATGCATTACTTTGTAAATGACTTGAGGGGACCTCGATGTAATCTAGTCGTGTAATTTAGTGTGAACAGGAATTTTGATTTACTCGCTTTTGAGGTACTCGTGCTTCTGTCTTCGAATATTGTTCTCCGAAAGACAAAGTGTTTTCTTCTTAAATAATAAATTAAGCTTTTTAAACTGAAATTGTTTAATATTTCTTATGCGTACTCAAAGGCACTATTTTTGTGCAATGGATATACTTAATAACCAATCGTCGATTTATTCATTTTTATGTATTGTACTGTATGACGTCAATACAATGCATTGCATTACTTAGACTTCGTCGTTAGAACTAAAAATCTCATGTTCCTATTAACCTTTTTAATGATGTGGTTGTAAGGTAATCTGTTAGCATAAGTATTTCAACTTCGTCTCATTTTTGAAAACTTAAACTTGTTCATCATAACGATATGGGATAGTTAATCGCGTCTAATATTCCATCGGTTCCAAAAACAAGATTTCTTAGGATATAAAGTGTTTATTTTAGTGTAAATATATTAAGGTATGTGATCCAAAAGTGTTGACAAACCGTTTGGTCAGTACGTTGTAATTAGTTTGTGCCTATTTTAACAACTTCCTAGGTCAATCGGTTGCTACCGTATTGAGATTTTGTTGCTGTTTTAGTGTTTCATTAAGACCCCATTCCGTTGATTTCATTTTGATATGGGCACCAGAAAATTAAATTTAGGTCGCAAATGAGTCACGGAGTAAATCAATTGAATATTTAGTACGATGTATTTTAATATAGTAATTGTTCACTTGTCTGTACGATAGGCGAGGTTCGTTTCCTGTGATTATATTTTGTCAGATCGCTTGGTCCATTTCGAGAAGAAAATAACTGCCATTAACACAGTAGTTACTTTTTTGACGCTATAGTTCTGTTTTGTGTTATCATGCGTAATTAATATTTAGCTGGCTATACGGTACATAAATCTCTGTGATGTGGATCACGATGTATCTTGTTTAAATTGTAAATTACGAAAATCTTGCTAGCTAGAGGGGTACGTGAGTTCTACAGCATTAACAACTTGCTAACGAGTATCTTTCACCAAACAATCACCTTTAGGTTTTGTTCAACATTTATATAAAAATTATACGTTTCCCCCTTCTATTCATCACTTACCAGTGGCTAAGAGATTACCAATGCTTTATTGACGGAGTTTGTGTACTTAAGGCGCTTTTTTGTTCTAGCAGCGATAAACAAATCTAAGTTTAGCGAGAGGTATGTAATTCATACGTAATGATTACTGCTCTCAACAACGTTGACGGTCAAAATTAATTCAAATAACACCTTAGACAGCATCATTAGTGATAGTGGATTAAGAATTCACTTTACTAATATCTGTATTCACATATGTTGTAAAATATGCTATGGATAAACTAGGGCTTCAAATGAATACATATTGTTCAAAGTTGCTATACTTCGGATCAACGTTATTAAAAGAGATAATGCCAATCTCATCACTGGCAGGAAATTAAAAGGTATATATAGAAGTTTGTAGGAACGCTATGTCTTTCGTGCCGCCCAATCCAAAGTGGTCATAGTCAATTATAGTAACTAGGCGAGCTGTAAGGATCGTATACATCGATTTGTCAATCACTTCGTGGAACAGTGTTTGTTGCGTTAAAATCATACACTAGCTAACCTTGCACAGTAAGGTGACCTTCCGAGCACGCGTATTTGTTATTGTGATCGCATCTGCGTACTAGAGTTCACAGCTTTACCATCTAAATTAACAGACTACTTTTGCCAGTGATATCGATTTATTGGGTCTAAATGACATGAATATAGTGAAAACGGTGAAAGATTATAACAGCTTGAGTTCACGTGTTGAGACTACTCGTAGTAGTTTTCCTCAATTAATCAACTAATTTAACTACTTGACTAGTGTATCGTAATGACAACAGTCGATGTACATTATAACAACAATCTTAGTTTCTCAAGATTCCACTGTAACATTATTGATGGTTTGAGTTAGCGTTATAGCGAATAACCTCGGCGTAAATGCAGCGTTTTGCTAATGGGTAAATGAAAAGTAGGAAACTTGCAAATATTTCCATTTTTCTTCCCTGGGACAATACACATATTACTATGAGAATTCGTGTATCAAGAAACCTGTAAAGTAGTTAATATCACTCGTGGTTAGAGAAAAGAATTTTTATCATTCCAGTACCACTCATGTGATTTCGAATCAATAAGTCTCATTATATGATGTCATCTGATTTATTAATTTCGAATTAATTAAGTTTTAAAAGGCTAACAGAGTTGTACCACATTTGAAACAGATGTGAAATGTACAAAATGGTTTAGATAAGAAAAATAAATTGCTAAAGGAAGATGAATTGACTTATTGAGAGAAAAGAACAGAACTGTTAAAACACTAAATACTTATTTGATCGTTGTGAGAGATTCGTTGTTAGTATTATTCCTAACTGAAACTATGTAGAATTTGCGTGTACCCTAAGAGCTACGTAATGGATCTATTGAGCTGGTATTCTGTTTTCTATCAATATATAAGATTTACCAAACTGACCATTATTTTTGTCCAATAGTGCTTTCTTTGTCTTTAGTTATTATGGTTGGTCCTGTATTAGTGTTTTCAGGATCCCCATTATGAAACAGGTTATTACGAATAGATTATCGGGTTTGTTAAAAGGAAAGTTATCGCGTACTATATTTTGTCCGGTTGAACTCGTAGATATGAGCTTTAACTAATGGCAGATCAAAGGTGATGTTGGTTTATCTTTTCTGAATAATATAAGCGTATTTATGAATTTTAGTTTTACAAGACAATAGTTACCGCTTGTTAGTCAGGAACGCCCATTCAGGTAAACTCGAATTTGAGTGCTTCTACTAGCACTGCAAATTGTGTTTCACACTGTACATCGAAGATGGGAGTAAAATGTTTAGTTTTTTGCTATCATGTAGCTGTAATAATCAACGACGTTCTAGAATACTATTGATTTCCTCAATCTTCCAGGTCATTTGGTGAAATGACCTAAGACCGCAATAGATTGGATTTTATATTTACCTAAGTTTGGGGCCTCCAAATGCCATGGTGCAGCTAAGGGCGGGAAGAGTGCGCTCTCACATAGCCACACGTATACAGCCACTGCCAGAGAAGTCCTACTCAGTGACTTATCCCGTCGGGGATGTTCTTCACAAAATTAGGAGTAAGGAAAATAGATTTCCGCCACTTTAACCGGATTGGTGGATATGAGGGGTCCACCTAGGTGAGTTGGAAAACCCTGATTCCAAACCAATTGGTGTACATAGGCTCCATGATCTTAAGAGAACAAATTGTGTATGAACCTACTATTCGTGACGGACTGCATCTCCTTACGTTGCTCCACTGCCTTGTGGATTTGACTTCTAGATCAGAAAGAAAACCACCCGTTTCGGTTTGGGCTCTCGGGCCCTCACACAAACCAATGATAACTACTAATGACCTCATTGTTATTGT